ATTAATGAGAACATACAAAGTCTTACATAAGGAAAAATGTTGAAGCAAACAAAGAAATTACAACTGAAAATTCGAATAAACAAAAGTTTCTTTGCCTAAGCTTCTCGCTTCAGGTGATGTGCCTTTGAGGGATGTCAGAAAAATTCCAGTTGACCATCTTGTGTAAATTCCAAAACTCCTTCGTCGATCAAGTCTTGAATCTTGTTATTCAATGCCCAACAGTGATTAGTGTCGTGTCCATGACTGTTGGAATAGGACACGCATCTTTCATTATGTTTGTAGTGGGGAGAAGAAGTATTAGGCTTTTGAGGAGGCTCCCTCAATGCAACCAGCTTGGCTTCTAATACATGATGTAATTCTTGAGCCAAGGACATGTTTATCTCGGTAAAGTTTCTTACGCTGGCCAACCTGTTGTGGTTGGCGAAGTTGTTGTTGGACTCTTGGTGTAATAGCCATTTTGAAAGGTGTTCTCTCGACCAAACCAACTTCTTGTCTTATCATAGGTTGATTGATGACTCGATCCCAAATTCTAGCTGTTTGTTCCGTATGGTTGCACCTGTTTTGATGAAGCTTGTTGACGAGGGCTCTCAGCTCTTCTTGTCCCCGAGCTAAGTTTTAGATAAGAGCCTTTTGTCCCAACATCTGGATTCTCATTGTTGCTATCTCTGCTTGCAATTGCTTCAACTGGCCATCCTTGTCATCTTCAGGATTCTTCTTGGTGATGCTCTCAATGAGGAGTGCCTACACTTCTTCTTGCCCCTTGGATAGATTCAGGAACAAATCTTGATGTTGGTCATTTTGGGTCCGAAGATCTTGGACAGTTTTTTCGAGATCCATCTCTACTGAAATAAACAGTAAGCATATGAGAAAACCTGTATGGGAAAAACCTGTCATGATATGATGCATGGCATGTGGATGCCATTTTTTCAAGGATCTTGCGGGGTAAACACAAGAAAATGTTAGAAGTTGAGTTTTGACTACAGCATTGATTGAAGAACTTTGTATTGTCGAATGTCCTTCTACGAGAATCAAGCTCATCATGTCAAGTGGGCCATAGCCCTTGACTCAAGTTAGCATGCTTTGGTTTTTGATAGCATTTGGCTAGAGGAAAATAAATCCTCTTGCCCCTTGATAGACGTATGGTTCAATATAACCTTGCATCATAAACCATTGAGATCCTTGAAATCGTTCTTGAAAATTCTATGGTATGATGTCATGATGTTATGTACAAGTAAACATATACACACAAATAAAACAAGTCCTTAGGTTTAGGTTTCCATGAGGTTCATAAGTAAGTACCCTTTTGAAGTTTAGTTGGTTCAACATGTCCTAGAAAGTAATCGGGTTCTAGGGGATCTCAATATCATTGATCTTTCTTCATCGGGCATTGTTTCAGAGCAAGCCTCTTTTATGGCGACCGAAATATCCCAAAATTCAGATCTTAATGAGTGTAGTATCAAGCATCAACCAACTTCAGACTACACCAAAGTCGGCTACCTCACTACTTCCTAATGGCCAAGTTGTTCAATTAAAGGTTCTAAGGTTCATTAGTGCTTCATGACACCACACATCGGGCCCGTATTCTCCTTAATTCGCAACAAGGGATACCGGTACCCACAAATGTGTCACACTAACATATCTATCATCTCAACCATATCGGTCTATGTTGTACAGTCTCCACAATTTTTGCTATTTACCTAATGATGTTCCCAGATCCGGGTAGAGGATCAATACAAACCCAAACAAGGACCCAAAAATGTAAAGCAAACAAGTCAAATAATGAAATCATTTAAATATGAACTAGTCTCTAAGGTAACCCCACTTTTAAGGTCTCCCAAACAGAGTCGCCAGTTTTGTAATACGGGGGGGAGAACTAACTTGGGTGTTTTGCGTTTTATCGCAATTGTTGCGGATAGCAAGAGTCACCACCGACTTTTCTTTTATCCAATAAAGGAAAGGGTGAAAAGAACAGGAAAAACCTTTTGAGAATTTTCTTGAGTTCGTGGGGTAGGTTATGAAAAGGGAAGGTGTTAGCACCCTTTTCATCCATAGTTATCTATGGGCTCTTAGTTGCTAGCTCACTTTGAAAACGCTTTGTTTGAAATGTGTTTGTGATTGTTTTTTGAAAGTATTTTTGAAAAGTGCCTTCGATTAGGCGAACTTTATAATGACTCTCGTCTCTATAAGAATGTATACAAAGTGTTGTCCTTTTAAAAATATTTCATGTTTGAAAGTGTTGGTATGTTTGAAAGATGTTGTTTTGAAAATGTTGTGAGCAAACAACTATGAACGTTATTCCTACTCAAAAGGGTCTTAGTTATTTTCCTCCTCCTTTAAATGTTATTATCTTACCATTGATTGATAAGAAGCCCCATTATTGGATGTGAAGGGACAGGCGCAGGTCAATTGTAAAGTCATAGAAGGCAACTTGTGAGACGCTTTAGCAATTTTCGTAGGGACTAAGATCGTTTTACTGAAGGAAACATCGAAGGTTCATCGAGGGACTACGATCTTTTTTAATCGAGGGTCTTTGATAAAGCGTCCCACATTCGAGGGACATGATTATTTTTCCGAGGCAACAAGCGAGGTTAACCCTAGAGGTGCACGTGTGCATAAAGTGATTGATTCAAGTTAATTTGTCTTTGATTAGGGTTATCTAGCGATTGATTTTATGTCTTATCATACACGCCTAATTACTATACAGTATAAAAGAAAACAATAAATTGCGGAAATTAAAATTTTACGCTATTACAGGGCTTTCGGGAATGGAGAATACAAATTTATAAATGGAGGTGGATCGAATCGATAATGCGATTGAAAGTCTAAATAAGCAATCAATATAACCCAATCAAAATGAAAATAAACAGTTAATTAAACTAAAACAAACTATTAAATGAAATTAATTAGAGAAATAATTAATAAAATCAAAATAATGTTTTTAGTGTTTTGTTTGTGATTAAAAATTAAAAAAAAAGGCTTAAATGCAGTTTTGACCCCCCTAGTTTAAGGTTTTTGGAGTTTCGATCCCCCTAGTTTAAAAGCCAGGTTTCTAGTCCCCAAAGTTTTCAAATTTGGGATTTTTGAAGCCCCCTCCATCTGGCTGCCCAAAAAGTGACATGGCACAGGGAGAGTAATGCCACGTATTATTTTTTTTATTATTTTTTTTTTATTTATTTTATTTATTTATTTATTTATTTATTTATTTATTTTTTAAAAAAAAATTGTTTTTCTTCTCCTCATGGGCAAAATTAAGGTTCGAAAGGAAAAAAAAAAATTTTTTTTTAAAAAAATAAAAATAAAAAAAAACGTGGCATTACTCTCCCTGTGCCATGTCACTTTTTGGGCAGCCAGATGGAGGGGGCTTCAAAAATCCCAAATTTGAAAACTTTGGGGACTAGAAACCTGGCTTTTAAACTAGGGGGATCGAAACTCCAAAAACCTTAAACTAGGGGGGTCAAAACTGCATTTAAGCCAAAAAAAAAAGAATAATAAAATTCTATTCTATTATTTTCTTTGAAATTTTGTTTATCATGAAGAAATTAAACAATTTAAGGGAATGTTAACTAAGCAAAAAAATGTTATTTAATTAAATTATTTACAAAATCCTTAACTAAATTAATTAAGAAAAATAAATAATTTTGAAGTTATATTTTTTACCTAATTGAACATTAAAAAATAACATTAAATCTAAACTAAATAAAGTTATAAAAAAAATTTCTCTTAAAATTCTAAGTTTACTAAATTAAACCTAAACTAAGTTGATTATAGAATTACAAATTTGAAGTTTTCCTAAATTAATCTTAAAATTGCTAACTTAAGTCTAAATATGAAAATCAAAATTTTGAAATTACTATACTATATCTAAACTAAACTTAAATGTAAACTAATTTAATTATAAAGTTTAAATCTAAACTATTAAAAATATTAATCTAAACTAAATTAATAGAGTTATGATTTTTAAAACCTAAACTAAAATAATTATCATAAGAAGAAAAAAACAGTGAAACTGAAAATGGAGTGTAAACTACAAAATTTGAGTGGGCTAAAGCAGCAGACCCAAGAATGCTATAAAACAAAAAAATATACAAAAAATATACAAAATTTTTTTTTTAAAAAAACTGGTGGACACGGGCCGAACCGGGTCGGCCCGAGGTCCACCCCCCTCTTCAATTACACAACCGGGTTTATAAACCCTAAAACAAAAAACACTTTGAGGCAGCGCCTCTTACTCAATATGATGGAGATGAAAAGAAAAAAAACAGAACAACGTACCTCTCTCGTTCCTCGTCGTCTCTCCCGATCGCTTCTCTTTCTCTCTTCCGCATGCTAACTTCTTCTCTCTACTCCATAGTTGACTCAAAAATCACATAATAAAATTTCAACTGCGATGTTGTTGCCATCGTCGGAGATTGGGTGGTCGGACGAGCTTGCGAGGTCTCTCACGGTGTCGAAATAAGGTGTACCGCTGCGGGTTCTATGAGGCACGATAATTGGCGGTGACTTTTGTGCATAATCGGTCGAACAAGGGATTCATTAGCCTGCTGCGTACAGTTAAAGCTATGAAGGAGAGCCGGCTTTTGGAGGTTGCAGGTACTTTGCTTCTTTTCTTCTTCAATTTTTCAGATTTGAATGGTATGTTTTGTGTGTGAAATAATGGTTTTTTGTTTTGGATTTAAATCTGTAATGATGTTGAAGTTTAAAGGGTGTGATTATAGAAGGTTTACAATGAGTATTGAGGATGGTTTGTTGGAACTATGTTATGTAAGTCGCTGGGAATTGTGAGTTTATGAAATGAATAAGCAGGGATAGGGGTGGACATCACCGAAAATAGAGGAAGTGAAATGATGACACTGGTGGTGATACGGCATAGATAAGAGGGAGATAATTATGTTGTTATATGAAGGGGATTAATGGTAACAAAGGGAAGTATAATAGATAAGGGTTGAGCGAAAGCTAGTGGTTATTGGATGGTGAGGTGAGAAGGAGGTTGTGATTGATAAATGGAAGGTGAAGAGGAAATTGTTGTTGTGGTTTGGAATTGTGAGATTAATATCAGAGATGTTAGGCAACGATTTAGAGAGAGGTAAGAGTATTAGATTGCTTTCTTGATTCTTTTTCTTTTTCTGGTTTTTCCCTCTTTCTCTGTGGGATTTTTCTATGTGAAATGTATATATTTTTTTTGGTTTTTTTTTGTTTCACCAAAAGCTCTCTTCCTTTTGTACTGCTGTAAGTGGTTCATATAGATAAAAAAAATGAGTTTTTGGGGGAAAATGGTAAGTTTTTGAACTTTATTGGCTACTGCTTTTGTGCTTTATTGATGTAGTTTATGTTTTGCTAAGTTAGTGCAACTCTTGGACCGTTTATGATGCAGGGCAGTAACAGGTTTAGGCAGCATGTGGAGCAGGATTTTGGACTGTAGGGGCAGCAACAGGGCTGACTTTTGGACAGCTTGTGCAATTTTTTTAGACTATTTTGGACAGTTGTTCTTAGACTGTGATTGGCAACATTATTCAGCAGAAAAAAGGAGCAGCATCAAGGTTACTTTGTAAAGTTTGGACAACAAGTTCTTGGAGGCTAAGGGTTTGGGATGGGTTAGACATGTTTAGGACTTTAGGAATTTCATGTAACTTGTGATTTCTTTTTTATGGTAATGATGTAATGGTATGATAACCTTGTAATATCATGATTTTTGGATGATGATATTTGATAGGATGATGAATATGGGAATGAAATTTTGAAATATATTTGATGGATCTTGAATGAATTATTTGAAACAATCTTGAATATGTAACTTGTTTTCTTTTAAGAACTTAGTGAGAAATCTTGAAAATTCAAGCTTGTGAATACAAAAACTCGTGAATGGTATTTGGACTTATAGTTGAAATGAGGTAGTTTTTGTAATAACTTGACATTCTTGAATAGAAAAGGAGTGCATTGGTCTTGAATGACACTCGAATGAATGATGTCTGAATGAATGAACATGTCTAGTCTAGCTATTTGTAACTCATTTCTTGAATCCAAAATGAACTATGGATACACCTTGTAATTTGTAACTCAATTCCCAAGCAATCCATCTACACTAGGGATGTCAGTTTGGACCTGTTAATGGGGATCCCCGCGGGGAACGCCCCGTTCGGGGTCCCAAAGATGGGGAATTTTCCCCCGTGGGGGCGGGGATGGGGAGAAAAATTCCCCCGCATTTCGGGGACGGGGACGGGGAATACACCTCCCGCCCCGCGGGGACCCCGCCCCGCCTATTATTTTAATATAGTTAATTTAATATATATATTTTAGTGTTGATTACCTTTTAGTTTTTAAAGTATTTTTTTAAGTAAATATAATTATTGATTGTTTACTTTTCGTAGGAAAAAGAAAGTCATATCTAATTGTGGAATGAGGAAGAAGACCTTGCAAGGAGAAGTTGGAAAGAGAGACATGATTGATCATTACTTGTTTGGATATTTTGCTTAATATTTTAGTTTATTTATATGTAACTTTGTTTTAAGTATTTTGATATTTCTACTTTACGTGTGTTATCAATTGAGCAAATAGAGATATGTTGACTTTTGCTTTTAGTTGACTTATTATGAAGTATTTTTTAGCTTTTCAAGCATACTCATGATGCTAAATTTTATAATTATCCCTTATTAGTTTTGATGAAGTATAGTTTTTTAAGCATAATTATGTTGTTGGATTTTTTTAGTTGTTTAGGCATATTGTTACTTTAAAAAGTATTATAGTTCATTTTGTTGAATTTTATAGCATTTTATAGAAATTTATAAAAAAAATATTATTATTTTGTGTTCCATTAGTATTTTTAATAAAAAATAATAAATGTCAAATACTAGTATTTTTTAATAACATAATAAATATGTGAATTCTTTGTGCTTTTTATTTTTATAGAAAATATAAACATTTTAAAAAAATAAAATATTAATGAATAAATGTAGGATCTATGGGGATCCCCGCGGGGAACGGGGATCCGCGGGGAACGGGGATGGGGATAGAAATTCCCCCGTGACAGAGATCGGGGACGGGGACGGGGAATGAATTTGATGGCGGGGAAAAAGATGGGGAAGTGTCCCCCCGGCCCCGCCCCGCTCCATTGACATCCCTAATCTACACTTCTTTCCATCTTAAAATATGGATCCATTTGAAAAATTTGTATAAAAAATAAATCACTTGAATGAAATTTAAATGGACCTTCGATTAACTTGACAAATTTTCAATTCCAAATCTCAACGACAAATTCAAATCACCTTGAACTCCCTCCCTAACTTCAAAATTCTCAACATCCAAGCTATCTTGTGATTCAAGTAACAAGTATTTTATGAGAACCAAAAATTATATCGACCAAAATGAATTGCAACTTGTACTTCAAACCTGCCACAATCAACAATGCCTTCAAGAATTAAAATTAGAAGCCAAACCCCTTTTTTTTAAAGTCAAGAATTGACTTATAACGTTTTGATAAGTTTCAAAACCTTCTAAGCACAATTTGGCTCTGATCTTTAAAGAAAACTTGTATGATAAATTTCTTATGACAATTTTCAAAATTAATCGTCTCAAGATCTTGAAAATTGAGGAAGTTACGATTCTTGGAAGTCAGACAACGGCTACTTGAGATTAGGTCAAAGTCTAGAAAGTGACTTCTAAAGTATTTAAATTTGTGGTGATCTTTCGCACATAATCGGCTCTTGACTTTTGAAGAGGAATTGGAGACGACGTTAAGGAGAGTCATATGCAAAAATAACCACTCAAAAATATCGAATAATGAAGAAGTTACAACCGTTTGAACTTGATCTTGAAAAGGTCGACTTTTGGGTCAATACAATTGATTTTCAGTCATCTGAACCATGGAGTGAGCAAACTTGTGATGCAAGGCTTGAAACATGACACGAGCATCCTGAAGAACCATGAAGACCACTTGAAACCTTGGAAACTCAATCTTGCTTGAGAAATACCAGACCCTAGTTGTTGACTCAATGCTTAGGAGGAGAATTTGTCTGATCAAATCTTGTGCCATTTTGAGTATTTGAGAAAACCTAGGATAACATCTTGAATAAAAAATGGGAGGCCAAATTTTGGGGTACAACAGCCATGATTAATGAAAGTACATACTGTTTCAGTGAACTACGAAGATAACAACAATAATGATACATAGATAAATTGCATATAACTCCATGATTAATGAAAATACATATTGTTCCGGTGAACTACGACCAATCCCAACAAGGGAGGGATTTAGCTACTCATGGTAGCTTGAATCACAATGGAAGAATTGATTTGAACCAACATCAACGATGATTTTTCGACTCTTGATGTGTATCCAACTCTTTCTCCTTTAAAACCTATTATATTCTTATTTTACTGTTATTACAGATGATAATGTAAGTTATTACAATAATAGAGAATTGAATCCTCCAATTGAATTTACTTTTGTCCTTTTTATAGCAGTTCTGGCCACCTGAGTTCTCTACGGGAACTAAACTTTTCTAAGAGAAGTGTTTGTTGCTTCTTCACTGAGTTTTCAAATCAAACCGTCTTAAGGAGATCGCCAAATTTCGCTATGCGAAGAGTGGCTCGCTTAGTGAAGTTCCTTTCTTAGGCCTTAAGTTCTTTCAAATTATCTTCTGAGATCTCCAAAGTTCGCTAGGCGAAGGCCCAAGTCGCTAAGCAAACTGGCTTCACTGCTGCTCGCTGCTGGCGAAATTGGTTGATTTGCTTGTCTCCACTTAGTTGGATGTTCGTTAAGCTAACTTTTCATTGCAACATCGCTTAGCAAATGTCTGTTTTTTGGTTTTTTGTTTAAGGGACATAACCTACACAAATGATAACAAAACCAAAGAAAACTTGCAGAATACTACTTTTGTTCATTAGTTGAGGTTTTTGTGTTAGAATCTTATCATTTAAGTAAGATAATTGCTATGTTATAATGTGAATTTTACCAATAACTAAGCACATATCATGTTCAGATACACTCATCGCATACAAGGGAACAAACATACTCAAATAACCTGGATGGACATACCAACCTTCTCTGATACCACTAATGTAACACCTTATTTCCCCGCGCGTAACATAACGAATAAATCAAAGATATTTCATATATTCATATAGGGTGTCACCCATTCTTAAAATCATCACTTGGTCTATAACACTTATAAATTTAAGAAAAATCATACAACACATGTCATCTCATGCTCACCTTCACTTAGAGTATCACCACAACAAAATTATCAATTAATCATGCTACTCAAAACCATATAAATCTCATTAAACACTTTCTAGAAAATCAAAGCAATGCAGTAAAAGTCTCCTTAAATAAACATAAGCATGAAAACATTGAGAGTATAACGTTCAAATCTCTAATTAACATAATAGAAATAAAAATAGCATTGTTCGCTCGCCTATTGTTACATATCAGAGCAACGTAATCTAAAGATGTAAAATAAAAAGTAAATAAGAACAACATCGTTCCATCCTCCCACTTTAAGCAGTTACTCAGTTACCTGCTTATTTGTACTCTGAAGGGGAGCACAGACCATAACAATAATAAAAAAAAGGTTTAATAATCACATCAATAAAATATATGGTATATACAGCAAGGTATAATACAAACACATATATATTATACAAACAATTGCATCTCAACGTCTCATAACTCATTCTTACTCCCATCTCTACAATCTCACTCAAATCAACATTATGCATACAATTCATTTATGTAATGCAACTCGACTGTGCAACTCGATGCATATGCATGTGATAACAACTCAATATTTGGTTCTTTTAGAAACCAGGTCCACGCTCTAAACCCATAAGCCCCTCGCTGAGCTTCAAGCCCCCTTTATGAGCTTGAGATAAACTACTACTCCCCTCTCTGAACTAGCGAGCATGCCTCTTGACAGAACTCAACATACTCAATATATCATCAACCCTCTTATCAATCAATAATTACTCGAATAAATAATTTTAAATTATTAATTTTCATCATCTTAATAACTGCTAAAATGTCGTTATTTTGTATATAAGTTTTGTGGCACTTATCTATTCTTTTTTAATATTCTTGGAATAAATCCCAACATAGTGTGTAAATATGGATACTTTGTGTATAATTATGTTTTTGAGTCATTTATGTACCATTTGATAGTTTTTCATTCATTTTGTAGGTGTTGGTGCATATTTGGAGCGTGAGCAATAAGGTGTTGAAGACACAGCTTCAAAGTGTACATTTTTGGAAGATTTTTTCAGGGAAGCCCGCTTAGCGCGTTTTGTAGCGCGCTAGAAGACTTTTGAGCATTTGGCAGAGAGTTAGTTTTTTTAGCCCACTAATCGCGCGAAGCCCGCTTAGCGCGGTTCAGGCAGTTTAATGTGTAATTTAGAGGAAGTATCACATAGCGGGCCATGTAACACCCTCTAAAACCCCAAATAAAATTTCGCAAATAATTAAAATTATAATTTCAGAGTACATGTATAATTCGAGGATGCTACAATTCTCTTTTAATAAAACAACAAATTCCTGTCATGCATAATCTTAGTAGTAACT